TGCTTATTTGAATTTCTAGGTAAATCGATCATTTTTTCAGTATCCAATATATTCTTATTATTCAACTCTGCAATTAAATATTTGCAGATTTGGGTCAGATTGAGGATTTCTTGGCAGTTTTTGTTCAGTTTTAAAACAGCTTAAATATAATGAAAAAGTAGATTTAATTAGGCATCCTATAAATTTACATACTTTAAATTTAAGAAATTATACCTTCTTGCAATCTCGCATTGCCATGACTGCTGCCATTAGTTGTTCTACGTAGATCATTGAGTTTATAAAAGTTTCTACAGTATTCATTCTTACGATTATTGAGTTTACAAAGATTCTTATAGTATTCATTCACACTTTTAGTTCAATATCCAATTAATATTATTGCCTATGAACATTGACAAGATAACAAAAGAGTGATATTCACATTTTTAAATTTTCTAATTCTTTAACAAGGCACATGTTTTCTTCATGTAAACAAATGTTCTCTGCCGTTAATGAAGATATTTCATCCATTTCAAAATCAGAAGGCACAATTTTACTTTGTTTTTAGATTCAGCACTATAATCAAATGAAATCTATTTATCTGAAATTATTAATAAATCACAATACTTCAATAAAGTCAAATTATACCTGGCATGGCTATTCTTTCTCTTAAGAGGATTAAACTTGCTTTCAGGTTCAAATGGGATGGCATGCATTGGGTGAGGCAAAATATTATTATTTTTGCTAAAACTTAATAGATTAAATACAATTTTTAAAGAAAACAATTCAAAAATAAATAAACTTTTGATGCCAGAGCAATTAATAAATATTTTGAATATACATTATCCCAGTAGTAGCAAGACTAGAATTCACTATGGGAAATCAAAGAAATCACATTAGCTTGTTAATTCTGTCAGAATTTAAAGTTATAAATATAGAAACAATTTATTAAACACGTTATTCAAAGAGCCGTTATTTCAAGCCCATCGCATAAACCATGTTAGAAACAGAGGTCATCCTATTTTATATTTTTACCTTGTTTTATAGCCAAGGGCTGATCGAAATTTTTATTCTCTAAATTCATTATAATCGGCCTTTCTTTGAAAAGAGATAAAAAAAGGTACTTCATTAATATGAATGTGCGAATACCTTTAATGTTAACATAAGAACAGAATTTTCTACATATATGTTTCGATGCTTGTTATTCTCAAGTCTATATGTAAGCTGTGCTAATTAAATTCTGTGTGCGACTTTCCTGAAAAAGTTATTACCTAAATGTTTAGAGAATATTCTTTCTTGCCATGAGCAAAGATAAGGAGGAGCTATTGAGCGATATCAATTTATCAGATTTCGGTTTTGAATTCCCGTGAAACAAGATCATAATTCTATTATTAGATCTAAAAATATGTATATTATTAAACAATATAATTTACACTCTTAACGTTAAATCTTTAAAAAACAAGTTTAAAAAATATGTAAGATCTGCAATATGCTATATATACAGTAACATACTAGTTTAGTTTACTACACATAATATAAATTTGCTTTCTCGATAGTAACATGAGATATATAAGGGTCAATAATTCTTACAATATTGAGTATATTTGCTATTGATGTATGTATATTGAATAAAATTATTGAAACCTTAGTAGGGCAGTTTTGACGTTTGATAAGATTTTAAAATTCACAACGATTCAGTATCCATCATGTCTAATTTCAAAGTTTCAAGTTCAAGTTCGAAGCTTCGGAAAGAGAAGTTGTTTCTGTTTTAATCGATAATTATAGCGATGATAAAGTTCAAAAAGAGAAAGAGAAATTCTTGACAATATTATTATGGAATCTAAAGAATGGCTTTTCTGTGAAAAAACTGAAACTAATGAAACTAAACTTCTCGGGATAAAGGAGTTCCAGCGATTAGTTCAGGAAAGAGAACTTAAAAGAAAAAGTATTGCCGAAAGATATAAGCAAAATTATCTTAATTCATTGCAAAAGCTTAAATTTGAGAATTTTAAATAATAGTTTTTACTCATTTTATTTTGTACTATACGTACAGTCCGCGATTTATATTAGATCTACCAACCATATTCGAACCACATGATCAGGATTCCTTGCGCTTTTGACCTCATTTTTTGTAATTATGTCATGAAGCACATACGAGTTTTATACGTAGAATTTACCAGTATCTTTTTTGTTAACACAAATTTTCAATTCTTTGTTAATTATTCTGGCTGTCTTCCAAGGTCACGTCAAATTCTTAGATCGACGGATTATAAAGTCGTAAACAAATATATTGCACTTAATATCTCTACCACATGAGTTAATAAAAGCTCTATGGTTGTTTTTTAATATGACATCCTAAACTTCCAAGCAAATGCAGTTTTTATTATCAAAAGTTTAGAACATTATTATGAATTTATCCTATTGTAACTTTCTTAGTTAAGAATTTGGTTAAAATCATTCAATGAAATCGAAAAGGATTATTTGACAGTATTGTAAAATTTAAAAAAACTGATAACGGTACCAAGAATTGTGACCAAATTCCCAACAAATTTTGCACTGAAATAAAAAGAAGTTCTGTCTTCAGTAAAAACAGCTGATAAAATCGTAATGTTGCTATTGCAAAAAAACAATGATTCCTAATAAAAGTACTACTAAGATAAAGATAAGAAAAATATATATATATTTGAATTTGCTTGAACTTTGGTCATGGTTATTTCTTGAACTTTGGTCTGGGTTATTGTATTTTCGTTTCTGGCGGTACTTATTCCAGTAAAGAAGTGTGAATTATGATTTCTAAAGAATTCACAGGCATCGCAGCAATTTTTAGGTCTTTGCTGTTCATTAGTTTGAACTTTCTTTTTTATTGACGTTGACTTTTGATACTATTGTTAGCTACGTGATTGTTATTATTTGGTGGTTGTTGCTGTTGCTGTTTTCAGTTATGCGATTGTTATTGCTGTTTTCAATTATGCGATTGTTGTTGCTATTTTCAATTATACGATTGTTGTTGTTGCTATTTTCAATTATGTGGTTGTTGCTGTTTTCAATTACGCAGTTGTTGTTATTTTCAATTATGTGGCTGTTATGCCTGGTTGTCATTAATGTTGGTGTTATTTTCAATTATGTTCTTTACTCGGAAATATATACTGACGAATTGATCAATATTATTAATGATTTGGGGGGTGACTATTTTGTTGAGTTAAGGTATGATTTTGGAAATTTGAATCTGGTTTTGACTATATCGAACTTGATGATTCTTGGGTTGATAAGGAATAATCCTGACGAGTAGGTTGAACATGCTGAGGCTGGAAATAAGGTGTCCATTAAAAGGTTGCTGACCAAGCACATTAACGTTATTATTGTTCACTTGAACGGGCACGTGATAATTCAGATTATTATTCTGCACATTAACATTATTATTGTTCGCATGAATGGGCACGTGATAATTCAGATTAATACCTGAAATTTGTGGATATGAAGCTTGATTATTTCTTGATGAGTGTGATTCTGATTATTGGCTTGCCACTGATTCTGATAGTGCACAATTTCAGTGATTTGAGGGTTTTGAGAGTTCGTATTCAGCTGTTCATCGTTAACTAAAGTTGACACTTCCCTTCGTTTAGTACGTGATTTAAGCGGCATTTTTTTAAGGCTAAGGGTAAATCTTGATTCTTATCTTAAGACTTGAGAATTTTGAGATCTTATATTTTAAAGATAATTTTTCTATGTATTGAAAATCTTGCACTTATTACACGTACTATTTATAATTTTAATCAATTACCCCTGAACTCCACAAAGGTCAGTTAATTAACAAACTAGCCATTGTTACACGAGATTTTTATTAGGAAAATCATAATAAATCTATTTTTATGATCTGATTGGCTGGTAGAAAGGATCGGCAAAAATTTTCGCGTATGGTACGTATAGTACTGTACGCGGCCAAAATTACCTAAATACTGAATTAAACGGTTAAACGGTTAGAAATTTTTAGGCGGTTCCAATCTCTACTAATTCTTAAAATTTTTGCTCTTGGCTTCTATAGTGCCAATACGATTTTTCGACAAATCAAAATCCTTAGTACAGTAGTATTATAATAAGTTCTCAACTACAAATATTAAAAAGTTGTACAAATTTTTATTTGTTTGCATGCTAAACTTCAACTGATGTCGGTGAAATTTTCACTTCATTTGATTAAATGACTTGATAGTTTTGATGGAATCTCATGTAAGATAAACTTTTCAGGCTCGCGTTTTTCAGTAAAAATATCAATCACAGTCATATATAATACTGATATAGATTTACAGTATATCGCGTGGCTTTTTTTGTACTTTAAGATTTATATTGATCTAACAGTGAAATTCCATGATGACCGAAAATTCGAACTGTCTATAGGAGTAATGTCAATTGACTAAGAGATTATCTCTTTGAATTATACAAAAATGAATTTTATACAATATGAACCGGTTTCTTATTATAATTCCGATAGTATAAATGAATTTTATACAATATGAACCGGTTTCTTATTACTGTATAATTTCGACAGTATAAAAAACACTACGTAATATAAAATTACTCTAATTTTAAGTTCATTTCCGGTTTTATGTAACATATCGATATAGAAATTACATAAATTTTACTTTATCGATACATAATCATAAACCAGTTTTTAAACAATTTCTATTTAAGAATGAATAAACCTTAATATAAAAAGTACTGCGTATAATTAATCACATGTAATTTTAGCATTCATAAACCATGACTCAGTTGTAACTTATTATTTAACAATAACCGATATATTTCAAGATTATTAATTTAAAAACTTGTTTTAGCGCGTGTAAGGGTGGGACTAGAGATTGTATTCGAATATATTTTTATGAAATTTTCATATAATATATCTGAATCTTTTATATAAAAAACGGATAGAGAAGTACTAACTCTAGGTGGGACAATATTTATAGTTCTACCTACTTTTTTTACTACATTAATGTGCTGCAACAGAAGTTGCAAGATATCATCTAAAGCGAATGCCTCCAAGAAATCATGGTCAATCAAGTGGAAACCCTAAATGTCCGGGATGTGGTCGTCATTTTGCAGATTTGCGAGGACATGTCTTAAGGATACATAGAACTACAATAGCGGAGTTACAACGACAACGACGACAACAAAGTATTACAATACTAAATGAAAACCCTAATTCGCGTCAAGAAAGACCTAATCCTCGTAGCGACGAAAATCACGAACATGTTTCAGCATTAGCTAGGGAAGAAAATCCTACTGATTCTACTAATTCTTTGCAAGAATCTTCTAATTCGCGTCAAGAAACTCATAGTGATGGAAATCTCGAACATGTCTCAGCATTAACAAAGGGAAGTCAACAAGAAAATCCTACTGATTATACTGATTCTCTGGATCAAGAATTTTCTAATTCGCTTCAAGAAACACCTACTCCAAATATTATTTTTAACCATTCAACGTTTAATAACTGCACTTTTAACTATTATTATTAATATCTGTTCCAATGAAACTGAGAGTATACGTTACTATTTTTGGTATAAATTTAATAAATTTAATATTTTTGGTCCCCTGGACGTTTATATATTTTGTCGTCTAAGTAAATTCGATGGGGAATATTATTTTTTTTTTGATTCTTTTGAAGAGTGAATACTAGCGTTCGTTTTTAGCGTTCTCAAAAAGAAATAAAAATATGTCTCTTTTGAATTACACATACAATACAATAAATTTTTGTATAATATTTAAGGTACGGGTAATATGGTAACCAGTTTTTAAACATATAAAGATATCAAATTCTATTGTTATGCATTTAAGATGTTTTAAGTAGTATCGGTATAGTAATGTATGAATTACGATTTTCATAAAATTTGCTTTAAAATCGATACCGATACACTATTTATAAACCGGTTTTTAAAATAAAAACTGGACTACATATTTTTTAGCATATTTATATAATGATTTTACTTTTCGCGCTTTTAATGTAGCCTACATAAATAGTGTTATGTTTAAATTTTATGATAAACACTCATGATCCTCAAAATAAATGTTTGGTCACGTACATATATATATAATGAATGATTAAATCTTTAAATTCTCGAAAAATAATGACTCGAAAAAATTCAAACATTAAGTTTTTAACAAATATCATTAATTCACCTAAGTCAACTCCAGAAAAGATTAAGAATGCTTTCTTTAAGTATATTAAACACACCCGAAAGTTTTATGGCCGTCAATTAAATCGAAATGATATATCAAGTGAAGATTATTCTGATAATATCGAGCTTCTAGACGCATTAAAAGATCGAATAAATTTAATGTTTATAAAAATTCAAAGATTAGAAGGAAGAAACAGAAGATTAGAGACAAAGGAAATTAATCTTCAGGCCGAAATAAATTCATTAAAAAAAGAAAACAAAGATTTAATAAAAGAAAACGAAACTTTAAAGAAGGAAAATGAAGCAATCAAACATGCCGTTTCACATTTAGATGAGATATATAGAAATAATGAAGTACAATATGAAAGTACGATACATAATCTTCGTCACAACTTAGTACAATA